GTCTTGGGCCGATCCTGGTGGCCTCTTGGGCCTTCTTAGAGCGTTGGAACCCCGAAAGAGCGAGAAAGCTAAAATCCTGCAAAATCAATTGAACAACTGTGGTTTGGGCCTCTTGGACCCTGGGGGGTCCTCTTGGAGCCCCCCTGGGGCGTCTGCAGGGTCTCTTTGGCCGTCTGGAAGCCATTGTGAGCGTCTTGGAGCGCTCTCGGGCCGTCTCGGAACCCTCTTGGAGCAGCGCAATCGCACTCGAAGCTCACGCGAAGTCTGTGGATACCTCAAGCTGGCACCTCCTGAAGGCCCTCCGAACCTCAAGCCGAGCTCAGCAAGAGGAAGCAGTTGTACAAAGAGCAGGTACATGGTGACCCCCCAGCGAGGAAGCTAAAACAAAACCTCTCTTGGGGCCTCTTTAGGTCTCTCTTGGGCCTCTTTGGGGCTTTGTAAGAGGGCCCGGAATTCAACACAAACTTGACACAATACGCTCTCCAATAAGGAGGCGGTTTGTCTTAAATGTGAGTTGAATTCTGGGCCCTCTTAGAGGCCTCTTAGGGCCCTCAGAGGGCTCCAAGAGGGCCCAGGAGGGCCCCAAGAGGGCCCCAAGATGGCTCCAAGGGGACCCAATGTTTCAACACAAGTTTAACACAAGACGCTCTCCAATAAGGAGGCGGTTTGTCTTAAATGTGCGTTGAATTCTGGGCCCTCTTGGAGGCCTCTTAGGGCCCTCAAAGGGCTCCAAGAGGGCCCAGGAGGGCCCCAAGAGGGCCCCAAGATGGCTCCAAGAGGACCCAATGTTTCAACACATATTTAACACAAGACTCTCTCCAATAAGGAAGCGGTTTGTCTTAAAAGTGTATGTTGAATTCTTGGCCCTCTCGGAAGCCTCGTAAGGGCCGTCAGAGGGCCCCCGCAGGGCCCCAAGAGGCCCAGGAGGGCCCCGCGAGGGCCCCAAGACGGCCCGAAATTTCACACAGCACCAGCACCAGCACCATGAGCAGCCCGGGCAGCACCAGCAGCATCGACGCTAGCAACAACAGCAACATCTGTAGCGACAACGACATCAACGAGTGAAGCAGCAACGGAAAGATGATTCCAAGATGGACACACCAGGGTTTTGAAAGGATCAGGAGATTACCCCTGTCGCCCCAAGATGCCCACCCCTGCTAAGCAATGGCCCCAATGTGACCCCAAAGCGACCCTGCGGCCTCAAAAGAACACCGAGACGAACACATTCTCTTCCGGCTGAACTAACGCTACCGCCTGACCCCGATGTTAGGTGTCCTCGGGACGATCCCATGAGCCCGAGACGACTTCGAGATTGCCCCAAGATGACCCCTTCAAACCCTAGTTGACCTCCCCAAGATTGTGTCAACATGGCTCCAATGTGACTCCGATGCGTGTCTTTGTTCTGCCCTTGCCGTTGCCTTGGGCCGATGGGACGGATGGGGGTGCCGGCCCTCCGCCCCCTCGTCGTCGTTTTCTTCCTCCTCCCCGTCGTCCTCGTCGCCCTCGTCGTCGTCGTCGTCGTCGTCGCTGTCCGCCTGGCCCCCTCGGCCCCATACATAAAAAAAACCGAATCCCGAGCACAAACCGAATCCATCCATTCTGTGATGTTGTTCTTCGAACTAAGGCGCCCTTGGGGACCCCTGTCCCGAGAATCGCTGCCTCGAATTATTCAAACATCGCGGGAAAATGGCTGCTTGTGGACCTCATTAGGAAGGCTGGGCTTCACACACCGTCAGCGTCCAAGAAGGCCCCAGGAGAGGCCAAGGATGGCGCTGATCAGCCCTAAGAAGGCTCCCCCTGAGAACCCAAGGACGGTCTCAAGAGCACACAAGAGGCTCGCAAGAAAACACAGCGCAAGCACAAAAAGATGGATACGTGTTTCCGTACGCCAGCAGACAGCGCTAAACGTTAATGGCAAAACCTGGCCGCATGGCCCAAGGGCCGTTGCCCTCCACATCTCCCTGTCACAATATAACACCTTGTGCTATACCACAATCTGCCACCCAAGAAATGAAAGGTAAACATGATAAGAGCTTGAGCACCCAGAAAAAATGCGCGCGTGGCCTCGCAGAGCGCCCGATAACATGATTTCATGTTCGAAATCGCAGATCCACCAGCGAGCTTGCGGGCGCACTGGGCTACGAACCATCTTCTTCCTCCCAACCTTCCTGTGGAACCGGGTCATGGCCGGCTCTTCCTCCCTCGTATAGGGCGGACTAAAAAGTTCGATTCGGTTATCAGCCGCCCGTGATCTCGGCGTTTGAATCGGTTGGCCATGACCCGTTGCCCATCGCGGCTCCTGCACACAGAGGGGGATCTAATCTCTCGATCTGATTGGCCATGGTCCAGGCCGTCGTGCACCGTCCATGCGGGTAGGAATCTCAACTTTCGAGTCTTGGCGTTGGCCCATGGCTCCCTCGTGGCTTGTCAGTGTGGGGCGGGATCTCGGTGTAATGTTCGGTTTCGCTTGATCCTGCGTGCGCCCTTCGCATAGGGTGAAGTATTTTGGCTGGCCCGTGGCCTGTGTCTCCCTCGTAGTGTCAACTGGGACATCACCTTTTGATTTGGACAGTCGTGACCCAGGCCCTCGTGGCCACCTCGCAGAGGGTGATCATCACCATACCACTTGTCAACACACGCAGTGGTATTAAAATTTCAGCACTCCTCGTCGGTCCTCTTTGCACGGGGATATCATACCAGAAACAATAACACATACTCTATATCAGAAAATCCGCCGGCCCCCTTGCGGGGCCATCAGGCTGCGAGGGTTAAGCTTGCTGCTCCCTGCGCCAGATCCAGTTTCCAGTTTCCATTGTTACAGTACTGCTTTCTGCTTCCTACTGTAAATTGTTACTGTCCGCGCGAGGGGGGGGGAGCCGAAAGCCACCCTGGTTAGCGTCCCCCGGGAAGGTTCTCAGAATTCCTGGGGGGGGTACAAATTGACACCCCTCACGCAGATCGGCGGGGTCAGGGCCCAAAAACATAAGGGTTGTGCCGCATTTCTGAAATTCGGTGGCACCCCTAACGCAGATCGGCGGGGTCAGGATCCAAAAACATAACGGATTTGCCACATTTCTGAAATTCGGTGGCGCCCCTCACACAGATCGGCGGGGTCAGGGTCCAAAAACATATGGGACTTGCCACATTTCTGAAATCCGGTGGCACCCCTCACGCAGATCGGCGGGGTCAGGGTCCAAAAACACAAAGGATTTGTCGCATGTTTTAAATTCGGTGGCGCCCCTCGCGCAGATCGGCGGGGTCAGGATCCAAAAACACAAAGGATTTGCCAAATTTTTCAAATTTCCTGGCACCCCTCACGCAGATCGGCGGGGTCAGGGTCCAAAAACATTTGGAATTTGCTACATGTCAAAAATTCGGTGGCAACCCTCACGCAGATCGGCGGGGTCAGGGTTCAAAAACACAGAAAGGATTTGCCACATGTCTGTTGAAATTCGGTGGCACCCCTCACGCAGATCGGCGGGGTCAGGGTCCAAAAACACATCGGATTTTTCGCATTTTTGAAATTCGGTGGCACCCCTCACGCAGATCGGCAGGGTCAGGGTCCAAAAAATCAAAGGATTTGCCACATTTCTGAAATCCGGTGGCACCCCTCACACAGATCGGCGGGGTCAGGGTCCAAAAACACGTGGGATTTGCCACATGTCTGAAATTCGGCGGCACCCCTCACGCAGATCGGCAAGGCCAGGGTCGAAAAACAAGGTCCCGACACTGCTTCACGGCAAAGCCAAAGCCTCATGACTTCGCTCTTCCATGGCCCATTATCCGAGAGAGGGGGCCGGCGGCAGGGGGCGAAGCCCTTACGGATAAGCGGGCGGCGGAGAAAAACAGCTGAAACAGTAACTGACGAATCGTGAAAAACGGCGGCGAGGCAAAACAACGAATGCGAATCAGTTGGAACTCCCCCTTAACCAGTGCGGAATTATTATGGCGGCCTGCATTTTAATAATCAGTGAATCAATATACAACGAGTAGAACAACATATTCGGAACCCAAATAAACATAGTGATACATGAACACATCCTATTTTACGCAAAAACTGACGGGACGTCAAAACAACGTCGCATGCAGCGAGTATGCAACTGATCTGATTATCTCGAACGCTTCTTTTGGAGTCCCCTTGAAGAGCATGCCGTGCAACGCGACTCTCCAGATACAGATTTGCAATTTTAAAGGGCGTGCCGCGTGACGCGGAATGGCCATACCTTCAAATCCCAACCAAGCGACATATTTCAACCCGCCCGCGGGCGCAACCGCAACCGCAACTAGGCGACAACAAAATGGCGGCGGGCTCGCCGGCCAAAATCAGTTCAAAATGACGGAGGCGGGGGAGGGGGGCGCCCAGTCAGTACTGCAGTGAGCACCGAAGAAACTGTAGTGATACGGGATGAGATGAGAGGACAGATGATGATGTAAGGCTATGGCGTAAAGATCATAGGAGCAGGGAAAAGCCTATGCGCCCTGGAACACCGGCGGGAGCAGGGCACTCTGCTCGGCCAAGAGGCTGCTGAGGTCATCGGGACCTGGACTGTCGACGATACTTAGGCCTGCGCCCCCTCCCTGCAGGGAAGTGGGGGATGGCACCGGTGGTCCCATCGAGACCCAAACTAAAACGCATACAGAGAAAACGGAAGAGGAAACGGCAGAGGAGGAGGATCAATGGCTGGGGGTAGGAATTTGCCGATGGGGGAAGAGGGAGGTCATGGGGAGGGGGGATAAGAAGGAGAGGAGGAGATGGAGGAAGAGAAGGAGAAGGAGGAAGAGAAGGAGATGTGATTCCCACCCGCGCGTGAGACGGGAGGTGAAGAATGACACATCACAAACGCGGTAAAGGTGACACAAGTCTGCCCGACAGGCGGCCACGCGCAGGACGCTCTGGCCTTTCGTCAGAAACTGGCGCCTAGTGCGGATGACAATGACAAGGACAATAACAATGATGATAATGACGATGACGATGATGAAGGTGATGACGATGATGACGATGAGGGCGACGACGACGACGACGAGATCGTACAGGCCTCGGAAAAATAGCGAACACTCATGCCACATTCATCTGTGAACGCCTCCCCCTCCCCCCAATGTTCGAAGTTGGCGGTGGGTCTGATGAGTTGCACCTCGACCGCAGTCTCCCCCGCGCGTGCCAACCTTGAGTTTGGGGGGCAGGGGGGGTGTTCACTAATTGTTTCCCTCTACCGTAACGATGGCGACGATCACGGTGATCAGGACACGAAGTGACACTCACATGTGGTCATCACTGTTCTGTATGTGCGCCTTCGTTCTGCGGATCCTTCTTCTGCAGGCTGCTGATCTTCATGACTATTGCTTCGATGGTCTCTTGCAGATCTGCAAGGTCATCGCGTACTGACACCTTCATCTCGTCGAATACCATTCTCGTGTCCTTAGGCTCATTCTGACTGGCACCCGGATCGCTGTCGAATGACGTGAACTTGTCAAGCAAGACGGTCACAACCACATTCAACATGATCCAAGAAGTGACGACCACATAAAGAAAAACCAGCACCATGATCATCACCTTGCCGGCCACACCGAACCCGTGCTCCTGGAAAAAGAACAGCGCCGGTCGGATTGCGGCCTCCGACCAGGACTCCCCCGTCGTTATCTGGAAGAGCGTATACCAGGCCTTCGCGAACGTGCCGTAGTACTCAAAGCCGAAGCAATGGCCGCGGGGAGTGATGCCGACGGCAGCCTCCTCCTCGCACTGTGCCAGGCAGACGCCGCCGTCGCCTTCGCACGTGGCCTCTCTGCTGTAGACGTCGCCCAAGATGTCAACCGCCAGCACCGAGAAGATAGACATGATAATGATCATGATCATAGCCGCGCTGGCGACATCGGGCACTGCCGCCTTGAGGGAAAACAAGATCTGCTGCAAACTCTCGATTCGTGCGAAGAGGCGGAATATACGGAACACCCTCAACATTCGCAGCAATCGGAGCTGGCCCGGATAGTCAAACCCACACAGGTCGACCACGCCAAGGCACACCACTACGCAATCAAATTGGTTCCAGCCTACCTTGATCCACTCGGGCCAGAGCCACGTACCGTACATGTTGATCAGGAGCTCGACTAAAAATATGACGTTGAACAAATTCGCTACGATCTTCCAAATCTCCCCGTGTTGCACGCCTGGGAGTGGCTCTCCGCCCATGCATGGGTCTATGCCCCTCTGAATGCACTGGGCTACAAAATTGGCAGTGATAAGCCCAGCCACGACATACTGGGACACGTCACGCTCGTAACACCTAGCCACGTCAAGCTTCTTCCTCCAGAACCAGCTGCTGCCGTAGCCGCGCTCTTCGTAGTCCTTCTCGATTCTCAGTCGCAGTTGGTCGCGGGCCATGGCCTCGTATTCATTCGTACACACATGTATGTCTGCATGTCTGCATGTATACCTGTATGTCGGAATGTCTGTATGTATGGATCTATGTATGTACGTGTGTATCTGTGTACGTAGGTATGTGTGTGTATGTTTGTGTATATGGATGCGCTTGTGTATGTACGTGTGTCTGCATGCCTGTATGTATGTATGTATGTATGTATGTATGTATGTATGTATGTATGTATGCGTGTATGCATGTATGCATGTATGTATGTATGTATGTAAGTGTGCATACATGTACACATGCATGTATATATGTATATATGTGGGTGCATGTACCTATGTATGCATGCATGAACGTATGCATGCAAGGATGCATGTACGGATGGATGTACGTATACTTGTTTGAAAGCACGTGCGGCTGTATTATATATGTATGTATGTATGTTCGCACGCATGTCTGCATGTATGCATCTAAGAATCTATACGTATGATAGACGTAAGTCGGTCTACACCGATGTATGTGCATATGTATGCATGTATGATGTGTGAATGTGAATGTATGTGGGTGTAGGTGCGTATGTGAAAAACGTGAGCAGGTATGTTCGTATGGCGCTTCTCTCCATGCGACATGGTCCTTCAAATCTTGCATGAAGGCAAACCGAAATATATACGTGTATATATATATATATATATATATATCAACCAAACCAACCATCGCTGTTGGCTGCAGTATTCGCCGCCGCCGTTATCAGATTGCTTTTCTTTTCCTTTTCTAATGTGCCCTCTTCCTCTTCCTCGCTCTCGCTTTCATTGTCCCGCGAACTCTTCCCCGTCCTCCTCAGGCTTGTTTGCGGAAACTCCTCCGCGGCGGGTGTCTAGAGGACCTCGCGGAAACTGTTCCGGGGTTCCTCGGGCGCCTCTGGGAACATCTTTGGCGCCTGTTGGCGGGCGGCCTCTGGGGGGTTCCTCGGGCCACCATGCAGCGAATCGCGGTTTCGGCTCACAAATTGAATGGCTTTCGAGGGCGCCGTGGGACAATTTCGGCCCATCCTGGGGCCATCTGTGGGCAATCCCTGAGCCCTCTTGGGCCGTCTTGGCGTTGTTTTGGGCTGTCAGGAACCCTCTGTCTTGGAGTGGTTATCGGGGCCTCTCGGGCGTTCTCGGGCGCCCGGAAGACCGAATAACCGAGTCGCCCAACATCATGCAAGCACCAATAGGAAATCAACCTTCTTGAGTTTCGAAGCCGTTTTGGGGGTGACATTTGGACCGTCACCGGGTTCTTTCTAGATTTATCCTCGGGCTATTGTTAGAACATTAACTCCTGCACGTAGCCGACGCGCGACGGAAGGGCCCAATAGGGCCGAAAGAAAGCGAAGGACGGACCCAGGAACCGCAGACAACGAGCGGAGGGACACGACCGAAAGGAAGGGGCCACGAAACAGCGAGGGCCCGAGAGCTACAAAGCGATGCTGGGAAAGCCTGAGGGCATTCGATTGCCCCGTCCTGGCTCATCGGAGGTCTTTGCATCACCTCCCCCCAGGCCTCCACATGCCTCCAATTCAAACCTTCATCCCAAGCGGCAGCAAAGCTCATTCTCTCTTTGCGAGACTGGGCAGGGTAAAACAGGCACAGCAAAGCTGCGCGAGGAATTCCAAGCGCAAGCGGCACGGGTGCTTGCTTCCAATGCGCCTCAATGCTTGGGAAGCCTCGCAGTCGGACGGCCTCAAGGACGGGGGCGGATAATGACGTCGCCCCATAGAGGGAGCGGCAAGATATCACCAAGCCCGCAAACAAAGAGAGAGAAGCTGGCCGAGCCTCTTCTCTCTTGGCGAACCTGGGCAGCGCACAGAAGCAACAAGCAAAAGCAAGGATTTCACAAGCGCAATCGGCACGGGTGCGTGCTTCCATTGCGCCTCAATGCTTGCGAATACCTTGCAGTCAGGCAGCCTCTATGGGCTGGGAAGCTTGACTGCCAGAGACTGCCCTCAGCCCGCAGCAACGAGAGAAGCAGGTTGCCTCTTTGTCGCCTGGCAAGCCCGGGCAAATGGAATTACACGCACAGCATAAACAATGAGAGTCTTACAGAATACATACTTCGCGGGCGTCAGTATCCAAAGGACTCCCGTATCGCGGTCAGATAAGCACACGAGATATCCCACCCCCTCTTTGCCAAACCCCTTTGCTAGTCATCAGGCTGCCACAGCGGCTGTAGCAACCATTCTGGGTCGAAGAGGGCCTGGCAGTCAAAAACATCGTGGGGTTTGCGGAAGCATGAGTGACGCTGGCACAATCAACTGCGCGCGCATCTCCGATCGGGCACTTTGTGCGTGGATCACGTCCATCACGCATGCGCCTCGGCGGGGTATTGCGCCCATGTCCCGAGGGGGCCCGGTGCAATTTCTAATTAAGTCCTTGACATTGCTTCTAGAGTAGCGACCACGGAGGCGGCAGAAAATAATGACTTGCAGCCTTCCGAGACAGTGTCCCCCTCCCGTGGGGGACGGACATGGGGAACGCAAAAGGTAGCGATTAGAAACCGAGCTAGCCGAGCAATCCACACATCTAAAGCGCCCTATGGAAGGGCCCCAGAAATTCTCATGCATCGCACCAGCAACAGATCCCGACAAAAGGCGGGAAAGGGGAGCTGGAGTCTGCATGTCCTCAGAACCGGCAGCCCAAACTTTCTTGGGAACTTCTTGAGAATCCATGCAATGCAGTTGCCGGTGAAACAACATAGATGTCTGACAAAGGTATCTGGCCGTTTAATGCGGTCCTGCTGCACGGTGTCATGGAAAAGCAGATCTGCACCTAGCTTGGCCAATCGGTCTGCCTGGCGATTCCCAGCGTGGCGCGCATCACTACGATCGCCCTTACGTACCTTGGTGACTCGAATTGACTGATAGCCGATGCCAGTCGCTAGATAGTGGGCCTAGACCCAAAGGGGGGCAGAGTTTAGTCCATCCATGGGTGGGGGCTTCGTAGCCGAGTGCCCAAACGGCAACCACATATTGGCAATCAGTAACAAACTCATACTGGACAGACGGGGCAGCGCGGGTGAGGTTATACAGGAAAGCGTAGAGCTCAGCCCCTGGAACGTCCTGAGCAAGGGCGGGCCAAACGCCATATGCTGCGGCGTTCAACCTGGGAGAGTCGCGCGCAACAGGCTCAGCGAAGACGTTCCGGCGCCTGGGAGCCAAAGACCAAACGCCCCATCCACGTCGGAGCGTTAGGGGCGACGGCCCAAACATTTCCGAGCCGCCCCCGTGCGCTGGCGACAAGAGAAGAGGGCCATCAGCGGCGCGCTCCCAGACAGGATCAGGGAAAAACGGCGGGGCAGGAAACCTAAAACGCGGGTCAGGAACGAGAGCTGCGGCCCAGACATGATTACCACGGCGCTGCCCGAGACGCGCGAGGGCCTGCGTCGGGCCAAACCAACGACGGAACGCAACGAGGGCATCAAATTCATATGAGGCGTGAAAAAACAGGGCCCGCTGGGGTCAGCTGGCACATAGGGCACTTAGGTTTGACATAGATACCCCCAGCTAGGGAAGCCCCCGGGGCTCACTGATGCAGCGCACTCCAACCTTCGGTCTTCTTGGACAGAAGGGAGAGGGACGGGGGCAGGAAAGGGGGGCCCGACAAATGACCGAAGGATGGGTGACGCATAAAAGCTTGCTTCGCGTAGTAGTCGCAATAAACAAATCCATCCCAGGAGAGTTCTGCCATTGGGTTGGAGTCATAGCTGACCACCCAATCCTGAATAAGATGGCAACCGATATCTGACCTGGTCCATGTAGGTCTGTCCAAGGGGTGTCACACGAAGCGGCATCGCGGGCCCGAGAGAAGACTGCCATCAATGATGCCCTCGGGTAATGCACGGCTCCAGCGAGAGGCAGCCCACAGACGCACTACTTCTGCATGAGCATCCAAAGCTGGGCCATTAACGCCATGTAGAGCGAGGTCCATCGCCGCAGATCTGCGCCTACCTGTACCTAGCCCTGCATGGTATATCGTCCTAGTATGCTGGATCTGGCAAGTACTCAGACCAACCGCATCAACGCCATGAGATATAGTCGGACGCCGGCTCGCATTAACAATGCCAGACGCCCTAGCACGTCTTTTCTTAAAACTCAAAATACGACAGGCCTTGGCCATGGCTGTCTTGAGTCTGGCATTCAGAACTGAACGGCTCCGACGTCCCTTGCGGAGCTGCAAATCAGCGCCCACATTCGACATGAGAGCTTGACCGCGCCAGAAAGACGCGTGGTCTCAGCTGCAGTGTCCCTGGTCAGTTTCGGGTCCGAGGCCAGGTGCGCGATTCTCTGCTCGGCCAGGGGTAATCGGGCAGAGAAAAGTGAGCATGCTCATAAGGGGATGGGGGGGCCCTGTGGCTAACCTCCTCAGGAAGCCCCTCTCATTCCCCCTCCCCCCCAGGACCTGAAAGTCGTCGGCCGCCAGGCCCATGTGAAGGTTCGGATAGACCGCCAAGCCAGAATCTAACACTGGCATCAACATAATGCGCATGAAAAGGTCTGCATAGGAACAACCAGCAGCAACCGCGATACCAGCAGAGACCCAAGTGCCGACGAGTCGGCGCAAGCATAAAACCCTAGGCGATCTGTAGAGAGAGATAAGAGCACGCCCAACGACGCAGGATTGGAACCAAACTGCACAGCGGGCTTGATGAAATGCTCCTGCCTGACCTGCTCATGGGCCTCCTTGATGTCCAGCAAGAGAGAGGGAGAGAGATAGAGAGAGAGAGAGAGAGAGAGAGATTACACTGGCATGCCACGTGTCATTGCGCACCCTGCCAGCGCCCCCACGCGCCACACACGCGCGCGCACGCGCGCGCTGTTGACAAGAGTGAGCGCGCGCAGCGTCTATGCGTGGACGCGAGAGTAGGCGCGCCCAGCTCGCGCCGTGCGCGCGGCGGGAGAACCTAGTGAGCGTACGCGCGCATGTAGTGAAAAGTGCCGCGGTGCGCTCACCACCATCGGGCTTCGGCAATGCACTCATCATGG